TTTCATGCCAATAAGCCGTCTCATCTTGGGTTGCATCGCGTGCCATAAATTGGAATATTATATCCAGGCTCCAAAAAAATTACGCATTTCTAAATACTTTTACTTAGTTTCAGAACTGAAGAATGGGTACAGGTTCCTGTCAAATGCCTCATTTGGATCTTGATAAAGGATTCATATAGTAAAGACAAAAAAAAAAAATAGCTTCAATCAGTGTTGGAAGGAATGACACAAAAGGTAAATTATTATGGTTTATTGAGGGAGATATTTTGCATAACACCCAGTGGTTCGGATAAAAAGCTTTCCCTTGAGGAATATTTGTATCAGTCTTTGCCTCAAAGATCTCATCTAAATCATTCAGTGGCAAAGATGTGGAAATGTCAGGATATGCTAAACAGACCAAACACATGGGAAAGAAAATGAGATGTATGGATGCATGTTTTAGTCGCGCTTCAGTGTAAAGCGCCTGGATTTCAGGTTTTTGTCTCCTCTTTTCTTTTCCCTCTCATTGCACCTCTTATTTAGTGTCTGGGGCCAGGGAGAGCTCCGAGGAATTGTTCCTTTCTGTTCCCTTGCTTTTCTTATCCTTGCTTTTGTTTTATCTTCTTCTGCACACCCATATTCTCACTGTTGCCATGTTTAGGATGAGTGAAAAATACAAAGACATCCGCCATACACATGTCCACAGAGCTCAGAAATTTTGTTGCACCACCTGACCCACAACTCAGACCTGCTTTTAACTGGTCTAAAGTTGATTCTACTTTTAGTCTCCATAGTCACTGCAGTTTATCGGTGGTCCCCCACCTGTTGCTCTTTGTAAGTTGGAATATGCTGATTTCCTCAGTCAGCACAAACGTTGGCTTTATAATATTACTGTAGGTATCTGTGTGCTTAGGAGAAAAAAAACACGGAGTCCGTGTTCGTTTCTCACTCGCATCTATTTCCATAAGGCTTGTAGTGCTCCAAACACATCTACACTGAGTGTTGTAATACAATCAGCAAGACCAGCGCTGAACATCTGTGAAACAAGGGAGAGCCAAATCTTGTCCTCTGGGAGGTAGTGACCATGAACACACTGCCATATGGGCAGGCCAAAGTTGTCTAATGAGGCCAAAAAAATGATTGATGCTTGCAGTCGCTTACGACACAAACAGTCTGTGCATCCCCAACCCCAGGAGCGTAGCCAGAAATGTTTCTGTAAGGCAGCCAGGGTGATGCAACACTTCAGCGAAGGGTGGCCCTGCGTGTGTCCATCATTTTTTTATCATACCGTCCATAGTCAGGGTTTCATGAAATACTACTACTACTACTAATAATAATAATACATGATCCTTGATCACGTAAATCCTCGTGGGCCGGGTTGAAGAACACGTTGAACAGGCCCCCATAGTGCCTCCCGGCCATACTTTTTTTACCACTGGATTAGACCCTTTGGTTCAAACACTGAATTATATCCGTCTGCCGTAAGACCTCCTCAGAGCTGTACACTACAATCGATTTATGGGTGATTTTTGGTTGTGCTTCAGGCATTAACTGGCCCACAACCTCTGCTTCCAATTTCTTTACTTAAATAGGACAAATTCTGCCTTGTCCTTGTTTTGTCCCACAAAAAAAAAAAAAAACGTGTTGATAAATCCCTGCTTTGAGATGGTTGCTAAAAGAAACGGATACCTTCTCTTCCCCACTACTCCCCCGCCCTCAATAAAACGGAGTCCCAGTTTTCCGTGTTTTTGTCGTGTAGTACTTTTTTGTCCATTGATTTTGCATCTGCTTTCGTTCTGTGACATTCTGTCTTTGAGAAAGTCTCTCAGTTCTATAAAACCTACACTCAGGTCACATCTGCTTTGTCTGACCACGTCTGTACTGTGTTGTGTAGGTCCGTCTCTGAAAGACACACACACACACACACACACACACACACACACACACACACACACACACACACACACACATTCAACCCCAGCAGTTATGTTTTCTATTAAAAAAATTCACAAGAAGATACTTGTAAAACATACAACCCAATATGAAGTGAGTCACAATTTGATTTGGCCCTTTCTTAGGGCATAAATTCACTTTATTTGAATGTTTTCCTAACCTTGAGACGTTCAGATCTGACAGTTTGTGGAACCGCCATAATATAACATCATTTATCTGTTCAGTGACTTAGGTCTGTCTGAGAGAGAAAACCATTCGTAGCTGTTCTGACGTTAAGGACCTGTTTGCATAATATACCGAATGCATACCTAACCTCGGACCAAGGAAATCCGCGAGCCAATCCACCAATCTCTTTCACCACTGTGAGTGTCTCTCTGCATCACGGGGGGGTGGGGGGGGCAGTCTTCCGAACCACCTGGTTTTGAGGTAATAGTGCCAAATGGGAGTCTGGCTTAACTTGATGCCGTCTTTCAAACAAGGGAACCTCGTAAAGAGCTGGGAAATAGCTGAGCATTGAAAAGTGAGTGAGAGTGTGGCAAAGGTGGTGAGCAGTTTGAAAAAGCCAGCGGTAGAGAACGGGAGCTCGGGGGGGAAGTCATAAATAAATGAGACTGAGCCACGGAACTGGCTTCTTGGATGTGAGGGAAACTGTGACTGGGTCGCCATGGGAGTCGCTCTACACATTTGCCACTTCAGCTAAAAGGAAGTCGAGGGAGATTAAACTTGGAGCACAGTTATGATTTGTGAATGATGGGATGAGGTACATATCTTGGGTAAAATAAATCATGCTGGTGGTCTCATTATTTGCCTGGCTGTTAAATATTTATGTGGAAACATTGATCAGAGTTGTATTTTTCAAATCGCTGATCCAAAGATAGTAGAAACTAGGAGTCGTACTTTATCTCAGCCTCCCTCAAGATGTGATTAGGAGGATAACATGAATATAAAAGCATGTCAGACACACTATGTTCAAATTCCTGCCATCCAACAAAGACCCCAGCCCACATAAAAATCACCCTTTTCAAGCCTCAAACACACACACAGACATACACAAAAAGAAAAAAAAACTGACAAAAAACTGCCTATAACTCCCAGTAGGAATGTCAAAAACACGTCATAGACACACGAAACAAATACCAAAATGTAGGTCTACAGAAGGCATTGACAATACCCAGATACCGCGATAGGAGGAACTTCTCAAAATAGTTTCATCTTGTGAAGTCATGGCTTCACATTAGCTGCGCATTTTGCTGCACGTTTGGTCAATTTGTTACAATTCCTTTCTGCTGACTGCTTCTTCTTTCATTCATTGGCGGATTCTGTCCCAAACGGGCTGAGGCCCAGTACCCCTCTGCGGACGGATGGTTGGGGAAAGTTGATCTACGCCACTGTGTGGGTTGTAATCAGAGCATCAGCCATGGGCAAATTTCCATTACATGAAATTTCATGGACGATAAACCATTTGAATTCATGCATGCCCCCCTTAAAATATGCATGCAGTTACTACAATGAGCAAATTATAAATTTTTATGTTTGTTTGCTTGAATTGAAATTGTCGGAACTCAATAGATAGTGGAACAGAAGAGAAACAAGATTTGGATGAGCATAAAATTGAAAAGAAGAGGCAAAAACAACGGGTCTTTATGTGAGTTACACCGCTGGAAAGCAAACCGAGTGGAATTGTATCATGGTTGCGCTTTCTGTTGCACTGCTTCAGCTCAGTTCAACTCCTGCAAGTGGAAGAGAGTGGAGAGGGAAACAAGTAGGTCAGGAGTCAGCACAAAATAATATTTAAATACACCATGCAGATAATGAGACCAAAAATACTTCGTTTTTAGAGGCTGGTTGCATCAGACCCCACACCAATTAAATATTCTTTTTGTTATTGTTCTGGCGAAAACAGGACTAATCGCGGTCCTTTTAAATATTGAGGAATTTCCCATTCTATCTTGCGGCTTCAGTGTTTCGGGGTCCGGTACCAATTAACCGTGAAAAATGAGGATTATATGTGTGTGTGTGTGTGTGTGTGTGTGTGTGTGTGTGTGTGTGTGTGTGTGTGTGTGTGTGTGTGTGTGTGTGTGAGGACACCACACAAAAA